TTATAGTATACTTCCCTGCGTCTTAGGTTTCGACATTAAGTACGATGTACGTTATTCGGTTCACAGGAACTTTCATTATTGATTATGCTGGTTGAGTGTTGATTAGACGAAATAAAAGAAAAGAAAAAACAACAAATTATGTGTCAATCTTCGTTTATTTCAGTATTAAAATCAACAATGCATTTGCCCCTGTTCGCATGTTCATAACTCTAACAGAAATGGATTATAAAAATACACAGATATGTAAAAAACGAACGATTTTTTTTTATTTTACCGTACCAACAAAGTAAATTTAAAGATCAACCAAATAATGCCTATAGCTTCAACTATACAAAGTGTTCACCCTATTGCCGCGAGTGCGACCAGACTGATGTGATCCGTCGACGGCGTGTCCAGATAGGCGTTCTCCGCCTGCACGTTCGGCAAGTGCTCCGAACGCCTTCGGTCCAATTCGACTTTGGCGTTCGGCACGTGCTCCGAAGCTCTTGGTTCCAACTCGACGTCCTCGTTCGTCTTTTCCACTGTCTGCACGTGCTCCGACGGTCTTGGTTCCAACTTGACGCCGGCGTGCGTCGACATCAAACTGCAATGCGGATCTTGCTTGCGTGTGCGATCGTTCAGGAGTCGGCAATGCCGTAGAAGAGGGATCTCGTAAAGTCGATCGGTAGAGGTTACGTACAAAATGTTCCCGTGCAACCCGGCGTTCGTGATCGGTTGCTCCGTCGCGCGCATGACGTACAGAAGGACGGTCCGATTTTCCGACATCACCAATTTCAAGACTCGACCGTCGTCCGTTCCGACGAAAACGACCGTAAGGTTACCGGTCTCAGTCACGGTCAACATCATCAACCTGTAGTTTTGTCGAACGAGCGTAAAGAGCGGGTCCCAACTTCCGACCGGTTCGTACAGCGACGGGTGGGATTTTACGAAGTTTAGATCTTCGTACGAGAGTAGAGTCGTGTCGACCGAACAATCGCCCGGTCTGTTGTCCGGAACGTCCTCGTCCGGGATGCGTCCCCAAGGCGCCGTCGGTCGCAAGAACGGACCTCTTTCGAAGTTGTCCCTTATGTCGTCGAGGCCGAAACAGCAGATGGCCGAGGCGGGTATTTCGTGTTCCCCCCGTCGTGAAGTAGAAGTAGAAGTAGAAGACCTTTCCTCCGCGGACGGTCCGCACGACGTCCTGCAGGTAGTTGAAGCGAAACGGAAATTCCCCTCGGAACGAGCAGTCGAGTCGCGCCTTCAGAAAAGTCGTCCAGCTGGAGTCCAGTATCGTTCTGCCTCCCTTGTCGTCGGTGCAAACGCGGGCGATTCGCGAACGGTAAATCTTCTCGCAGTTTTTTACGGAAACTTCTCGGAGGAAGAAAAACACTTCTCTTCCCTCTACAAACGAACCGACGAATTTCGGGTGATTCAGCCACAACGAATCGTGCCTCTTGGTTATGAGAGGAACGGTGTTGCCCATCGACCTCGTCAGTGCGGAATCCCTGCCATTGAAATCGGCGACCGTCCCGGCGTACAGGCTACCCTCCGCGAAGACGGACGTTACCTTTTGGTCAACGGTGAACGGACAATTGTACAGACCGTCCGTCGCGTTCCTTCTCCTCC